GCCAGTTAAGACTATATAGGAATGGGCTGTGGAAATGACCAAGAAGAGAATGGCTTTGTACATTTGACTATTTATTTTTTCCTTAAGTTTCACATCAGACTGACTAGTCAAACCCCTGCAACTGAACTGCAGAAAATGGGAGATGGGTACAAAGTGCGAGGAATTGGGTGGAGGGAGCCTCCAGAGAAGGGCCCAGCCAGACTTTTCTCTTCTCCTTTGCAGATGGCCCATACCCGTACACTCTGAAGTTGTGTTTCTCCACCGCTCAGCACGCCTCCTAATTAGGTGCCTAGGAAGAGTCCCATCTGAGCAGGAAAATGTTTCTCTTTCCTTTATGCCGTTCTCTTTTCTTTTGCAACAGTTCTTGTATTTCTTTTTTTTTTTTTTTAAATGCTAGGTTAGTAGAGGCTTAACCATAATGAAAATGCTGGAAGTATGGAGGGGGAGGGAGAGGGGGACTGATATCTCCCAAGATTAACCTTCATTTTTAAAAAATTATTGTACATGTGATTTTTTTTTCCTGTTCATACATTTGTGCTGCCCATGTACTCTTGGCACATTTCAATAAAATTGTTTGGAAAATAACCACTTGCTGGGATTCCAAGGCGTGTCTGCTTCCCTCCCTCCCACTGTCTTCTGAAAAGAGGCACAGGCAGGCCAGGGCACCACCCTAGGCCCTGGAGAAATGCAAGCCCAGCCCTGAGAGGCTCAGGAGTGAGCCAAACAGGGAACATTGCTGGGCCTTGAGAACTCTGGGTTGGGTTTATTTTTTTATTTTTTTTTTCCTTTCTGTAAGAAACTGGTACCTTTAGCAGTCTTCTTGATGCCAGGATTACAGATGAATGTGCCCAGTGTGCTTGGGATGCACACCCAAATCCTTCCCAAGTGGCCTTCTAGTATCATGCAGCGCCTGTGCCACCACAGTTGGGCCTATCAGTCCTTTTCAGGAAAATCCAGCAGGCATTGAGGCAGCCTTAGTGTTCTCTGCCAAAGCAACTGCCACTGAACTGGGGAGCCACTAAAGAGTGTTGGAAAAGTTTAAAACTTTGAGACTCTCCTTGCGAATGGACCTCAGTCTCTTAATAAGGCTGGAAAATGAAACTCAAGAAAAGTGTTAAGTCTCTACCCAAAGGTCAACATTTTTTTGTGTGTGGTTTTTCTTTTTCCCCATAAGGGAAGTTTTCTTGTACCTGTATGATTTTTTTTTTTTTAAGATCCTTCATGCCATACTGTATTATGTTCCTCCCCACACAACAGTGACCTCCTTACCTTTATCCCGGTAGAGTGTCATTGTGTGGATGTGTCATAATTGACTTAACCTTATCCTACAGGTAATTTCCAGATCTTTTTTCTATTGCAGACAGCACTGTAATGCATGTCTTGACACACATACCTTAGCCCGCTTCCCTAATATTAGTCTGTAAATTCATAGCAGAATTGCTGGTTTAAAGGATATATTTGATACGTATTTATAACGTGAGATAGGTATTTCCCACCTGTCAATGAGAACCATCTTCGGCTTGCAAAGGGGACACAACCTGGAAGAAGCCTGTTTTAAGGACCTTGTGTTGAAGGAAGAGGGCCTGTAGAGAAGCTGGTCACAAATATGGCTTCTAAGAGTTCATGCACATGTGCTTGGAGAACCCACTCAGGAGTTTACAGTGAGGAAGCTTTTTAAACTCTGGGGGTTAACATCTACTAAAGTCACGTGGCACCATTTATCAGATGAACAGACTGCTTCACCGAGGACAAGAAGCTATAGTCCTTCAAACTCAAGTGAACTTCAAACTCAACTAGGGTGTGTTTTTAACCAATGAGAATGAATTGTGCCAGTCATCTCAGTATCCTGCTTCATTTCTTGTTAAACAGTCTCCTTTCAGGCAGCCAGCAAGTGGGATGGTGGTTAAGGTGCTGGACTCTGAAATAGCCAACCACAGTTTAAATCCCAGACCTGACAGCTCTCTCTGGTGCATACATGTGCCCTATAGCAAATTAAATAGTGGTAATAATAAATCATTTTTTAAAAAGTCTCCTCATGAGGCTGACAGATTGCATGGTAGTTAAAGATGCTGGATTCCCACATGGCTAACCGTGGTTTGAGTCCTGAACCTGTGGCTTGCTTTCTTAGTTTCCCTTTGTGTATGTCTGGTCAAATTAAAGATAAATGGAATTAAATCTTTTTTTAAAAAAAAAAAAAGTCTCATAGATGCATTTCTTTCTTTTTTTGGGGGGGGGGGGAGAGATTTTTCGCTATAGGGCGTGTGCGCTCGCCAGACAGAGACAGACAGAAAGCGAGAAATCACCCCCCAGAGGTGATGGCCACGCCGCAATCCCTTCTCCATTCTCTGGGGATCTTGGGCACACACGCACACGCGCCCAGCGTGAGTTTTAAGCCATCAGGTCCAGGACGCGAACCGCGGTCGACTACGTGGGAGTCCAGCTACATAGCTATCACGCTAACTGCTGGTTCCCATAGATGCATTTCTTAATACATTTAACCACATCCTGCTCCATAGCTGTGTAAAACTTTTTTACATAAAAGGGTCATAATAAATGTTCTACGTCTTAAATTTTTTTTTCTTCATGTCTTCTGCCTGCATAGGGATTTAGCTAACTACTGTTGATGGCTAGTTGCTGGTTCTGTTTTCCAGAAGAGCCTGCCTGTCTAATGTGTAGAACCCAAGAGGGGACACGTTTGTTAAGGATTCCCTGTAGTCCCAGTGGCCCAGAGACATACGTTCGCCACCTTGGTGAATGTCTCCCTAAGGAACATACTTAAGCAGTTTTACAGTACTTTTTTAAATGCTCTTGGGTAACTGGCTTTTTCCAAAGGGTTTTTTGTAGAGATTTTTTTTTTATTGTGTGTGTGTGTGTGTGTGTGTAGGAGGGGACAGAAACAGGGACAGTGAGAAATTACCCCTCAGGGATGGCCATGCCGCAATCTCCTCTCTCAGAATATTGGGCATGTGTGCACACATGCCCAGCATGATTTGTAAGCCATCAGGTTCAGGATTTGAACTGACTGACCATGTAGGAGTCCTATGATGTAACCACTACACCATCTGCTGGTTCGTTCTTCTAACATGGACTTGGGGGCCACAGAACCTCCCCATCCCTGAAGCCCAGCTGCCTTGAGCTAGTAGGCACCTCTCCCTGACCGTGTTTCTTCCGTACAGTAAGTACATGACTTGCGGTGGCGTAGAATTCAAACTGCTCCGTGTTGGCACTCCTTAAGTGATGACAATACTGGGTAGCAACTTTTTTTTTCTTTGAGTTTTGCTATAGGGCATGAGGAAAGTTAATTATTTGATTTAATCCTGTACGCAGTCCAGTCTAAATATTGTTTAAATAAACTCAGAGCAGTTTGAAATTGGAGAGAAAATTTACTTAACTTCCAGTCACAAGAGAACAACAGCATAACTGGCCCCGCGGGAACTACGCCTGGTCGCCTGATGTTTCTGGGGGCGCAGATTTGCTTCGGATCCCACATCTAACACCAAGCTGTTAAAAGTAAATTTAGATAAATTTTATTAGAGTTTATTAAATAAAGGGCAGGTGATTTAAATTGGGCAGTCTCGGAAATTATATTTTGAGAAACTGGCTAGTTGTGTGGTCTATAGGGGATATGCGGGATGGGAAAGTGAGGCGTGTTGTGAAGAGGGAGGGTGTTGTATAAAACCCTAAATGAGGGAGGTAGATCACTGGTTATAGGTGGGAGGCAGGGTGCACAAACAGCCCGGAAGGTGGGCATTTTGTGGGCATTTTGTGATCGACTATAACCCAGTAATCAAAAACAAAAAACTCAGCCTAACAGGTACTATTTACCAAAAGTAGGAAATCACTCTGGAGGACTGGGTGGCCCCTTCCAATCCCTTCTCTAGTCTCCCCTGGTGATTTGGGGGATGGGTCCAGGATTCCAACCATGGCAGCTGGCCAGGTGGTATCCAGCTGCTCTACACCACCTGCTAGTCCTACCTTAAAAAAAAAAAATTAGTGGGCTGGCAGGTGGCATGGTGGTTAAGAGCACTTGACTCCAGCATGGCCGACTACAGTTTGAATGCCAGACCTGGCAACTTGCTGTCTCCCGCCTGCCCCCCGCCTCTGGACAAATTGAAAATAAGTAAATAAAGTAAGATAAAATAATTCTTTAAAGAAAAAATTAGGGGTTCAGTCGGCAGGTGGCGGTGGTTAAGGCGCTGGACACTATGTGGCCAACCACGGTTCAAGTCCTGGACCTGGCAGCTTGCCCGCTTGCTCGCTCTCTGTGTCACTCTCTGGTCAAATTAAAATAAGTGAAATGAATAAATAGAATTAAATAATTCCTTTAAAAATTAATTTTATTATTGGGAACCAGCAGTTAGTGTAATGGCTATGTCGCTGGACTCCCACGTAGTCCAACGCAGTTCACGTCCCGGGCCCGGTGGCTTAAAATCACGCCGGGCGCGTGTGCGCTTGTGCCCAGGATCCCTAGAGGAGAATGGAGGAGAAGAGATTGCGGCGTGGCCATCCCCCCTGGGGGGTGATTTCTCGCTTTCTGTCTCTGTCTCTCTCTGTCTGGCGAGCGCATGCGCCCGATAGCAAAAACCTCCCCCACCCCCCAAAAAAAAAAGAAAGAAACAAAATGGAATAAAACCAAGTTTATTTTAGTGCTGGAAAATTTTTGAAATCCATAGTTTTTCATAATATGCTTTTTTCTAGCAGCTCTTTGAGGACGCCAGGTACATGCATGATTATAAACAAGCGGGGCCGCAGTCCCGCCGCTACTGTGTCCCCGGACGTTGCAACTCTGCTCAGTGTTCACACCGTGACAAAACAGCGCGGCAATGAACTTTATACAGACACCTCCGGCCGCAGGTGGGAGGATTTACCAGGCCAGGTTCCCACTGGGGCAAAGGGGTTGATTTCTAATCCTCGCTGCCGCTGCGCCGGCGAATCCGCATCGCTATTTCCGGTTGCCTTTAGTAAAAATGGTGGCTAGACAGGCGTCACCGCGGATCGGGCTGCGGCTTCGGTGCCCTCGCCCAACATGGCGGCCCCTTGTGCCCGCCCCCTCAGCTTCCTCCGGTCGGATTACTGCAGCGACAACTCAGTCCTTATGGCCGCGGCGGTTTCTCGTGGGCTCCGCGACTTGCTCACGCGGCGTGAGTCACCTCTTGATCTGTGGGGGTCGGTCGCGCTGTCTGCTGTCACAGCGGTCGTAGGCAGGGAGGCCCTATGGGGTCACGGATGGCCTTGGCCCTTTAAACTCAGGGGTCAGTGTAATCCCATAGGCCCGTGTGTGGATACTTAGGGTGGTTGGTGGCTCAGTGTCCCCAGTCTTAGGCCAGTTTCACGATCAAGGGTCTGTACTAGTCAGACTGGAGCCACTGATAAGCGCACCCCTGATCTTAAAAAGCCAGTATTTGCCTAACCCTCAGGGGCCTATGTTCCTCAGTCTAGAGTCACCCAGGTGTGTGTCTCCTCTGCCCTTGAAGTTGCTGTGTCCCCAATCTGGAGTTATCGAAGGCTGGTCTTTCTTTCTCTACCCAGGACTGACTGCCCCCACTCACCGGAGCCTCCGCCTCAGCCTTCGCCCTATGGGCTCTTCCACCCAAGATGAGGCCTCCCGAGCAGCCCCCATCAAAGCCCCAGACCACAACTATGAGTCCCTGTTGGTGACATCTGCCCAGAAGCACGTTCTACATGTGCAGCTAAACCGACCAGACAAGAGGAATGCCATGAACAAGGCCTTCTGGAGGTTGGGCTTGCAGATCCTGGAGGCCTGCTTGCAGGGGGAGGTGGAGACAAAGGGACTGGGCAGGGGAGGGATGACCATGCAGGCAGGGGGTTCCCACCCCTGATGAAGCCTTTCACTCCTTGCTCCTCCACAGCGAAATGGTGGAATGCTTCAATAAGATAGCGCAAGACAGTGACTGTCGGGTCGTGGTGATCTCTGGAGCAGGAAAAATGTTCACTGCAGGTACCGGATGCTCTTCACACCCACCCCTGCCAATCCCCTGTTCCTGCTGCAGAGCAGGGCTTCTTCGTTGTTTTCACCTTTTATTGACAGTATATAGCCAGAGCTAGAGAAAAGATTTACTGGATTCTATCAGATTAATCCATGTAACAATTTGACTGTAAAAGAAAACAGCCTGCTTGGCTATTTTTGCAGAAATTGGTAGAGGCAAGGGACTCCTGGCATACATTCTGTTTGGATATAAGAGAAAATAGCGAAAGAGGAAAATTGGACAGTCCAGGTATAGGTGGTGGTAGAGATTAGGGATTCTGCAGAAAAAAAAAGGAAATGTTCTGATTGCTCTGAACAGTGCTTCTTTTTTCTTTTTTCTTTTTGGAGAGGTTTTTCGCTATAGGGCGCGTGCACTTGCCAGACAGACAGAGAGACATAGAGACAGAAAGCAAGAAATCACCCCCCAGGGGGGATGGTCACACCGCAATCTCTTCTCCTCCATTCTCCTCTCAGGATCTTGGGCACGCACGCACACGTGCCTGGCGTGAGTTCTAAGCCACTGGGTCCAGGACACGAACCACGGTCGACTACGTGGGAGTCCAGCGACAGCCATTACGCTAACTGCTGGTTCCCAACAGTGCTTCTTCATTAGGGTTTTAAACAGCTTCTCATTTACATTTTTATCTTTTTTTTTTTTTCTTTTTTGCAATTTAAAACAATCAAATATAGAAATGAGTCCAACAGGGGCCTGGCAGGTGATGTGATGGTTAAGGCACTGGACTTCCATATGGCCAACCATGAGTCGAGTCCTAGACCTGATGGCTTGCTTTCTCACTTTCTCTTTCTTTGTCTCTGGTCAAATTTAAAATAATAATAATAATAACAAATAAAATCAAATGAATTAATTCTTTTAAAAAAGGAATGAGTCCAACAGAACATGACAAGATTATAGGCTCTGAGGTCTGAGTTTTCGATCCTGGACCTGTGGCCTCCGAGTCTAGTCCTGTGCCTGCAAAGTGTGTGATGATAATAACATGATTTCACACCATTATTCAGTACCCATGAGCTGCTTCCTAGTTACATGGCTATTAGAGCTTTCGTTTTTCTTTTTTGAAAATTTGCTAGTGGTCTTGTGCACTTGCAGGAGAGAGAAGGAGCTGGGGGTGAGAAAGCATCCTCCCATGATGATCACACCACAATCTCCTGTCCTCCATTTCTCCCCTCTTTCCTGCTTTTTGATGTACACCATGTGTACCCGACACATTTTTCACAATCCCAGCTGTGAGACAATCCAGTTTACCCATCATGGGACCATGCGGCCCCTGTTAGATCTCTTGACCACTCCTCAGATGGGAAATTTTCTATTGATTAGATTAGATTAGATTGTTCCATCTAGGTTCTTTTAGATCCGTCTATCATCTCTATTCTGCTCTTAAGCCCATCCAGTGAGTTTTAATTTCAATTATTGTGGTTTTCAGTTCTCCCATTTCCATTGGGATCTTTTTTTCTTCCCTCTTTTTAATTTTTTTTTTTTTTTTGAGAGGTTTTTGCTACAGGGTGCGTGCACTCGCCAGAAAGACAGAGAGAGACAGAGAGACAGAAAGCGAGAAATCACCCCTCCAGGGGGGATGGCCACGCCACAATCCCTTCTCCATTCTCCTCTCACGATCTTGGGCACACGTGGCCAGCATGATTCAAAGTCTTTTCCATGCATTTCCCAATAATTATTATTATTATAATTTTTTAAAACAGTCAATCACTATTTCTCATTTTGCTTGTTAAAAGACTTCACCCATCATGAAATACTTCCCAGACCAGTCCAGTTGAGAATACTATACACGTCATCTTCAACAGATAATAAACCATATCTGTTTCTCACTAACATCCCCTCTATTGTTCACTTTCTATCTTTCTCTATCCTCTTCTCTTTTTTTTTT